AGTGTTACCCGCGGACACGGGGAGGCTGAAATTAAATTTGTAGGGTCACATGTTGGTAGGGGACGCTCCCCTAAATTTTCATCTTCCTAGCTTTTATGGTCGAGTTGAAAGTTGCGGAAAAGTTGCTGTGGACACACACACACACACACACACACACAGACATGTGTTTTGTACTGCTGTTACACAGCACAAAACGCATAATTAGGGCAAGCAGGAAGTGCCTCTTCTACTCGCCCCTGCTGTTATTTAAAAGCGAGTCTACGATGCAAGCAGCCCTGAAAAGGTAAGTTGCTTAACTAACAAAGACGTATGCCTGAGTGCCTTGGATCAGGCTGCACTCTCACTGGTGCGGCCTGTGATCTAGGAATGCATACGAAACATCCAACCTTAACTGGTTGCAGCTCAGTTTTTCTACGTACATCTTGTTATTTTGTTACAGATTAGTATGTTTGTTCGCTAAATTCCACATCAGTCAATATCTATTGGTACCCTACAGAGCCAATAATTTTCTATATTTCACTGATTTTCATGATTATTGGCACGAACACTGCAGTACCGCATAGCTCGAATCTCGGCTCCTGCAGCTGACAACTTCTCTAACGACAACAATACTGAAGCAACAGCGAAAGTTATAGCTTAAGTCGAATTTGCGAATCAGCTGATGGGAAGCACGCGGCAAAGCTTTACACGTTCGAAATATACCCGCAGTAAGTTGAGTTCAAGCATATCGCTTAGAAAGTTATCACTCCTAGGCAACGATGAGGCATCCTATCAACCAGCTGCACTGTTTTAATAAAATCGCGAAACAACTTGATGACAGTCTCTCCTTGTCACGAAAATTTTCATTCGCCCCCGCTCGCTTTTTAAAAAGGCCCTGATGTGCCGTCGGCTGCCAAGTTGTGCTTACTTTGGCAAATTTTACAGGCAGCTTCTCGCGCAAACCGCCTACACTAATAGTTGTCATATATAAAAAATATTAACTTAGCTGGAATGCACATTTTATATACTGCATCTTAGTGTTTTCTTGCATTCTATGCAAATATTTTAAAATCACTTGTCCTGCACTGCATGAAAATGGGAAAACGCACTCTCTCACATTTTCATGCAGAAAGGCACGATGTTTCTAGAAATATATCGTACAATACTTCAGTTTGTTCTTCCTGACAGGTCATTGTGACCCTCCTTTTATTACAGTCTAATAGACTAATGCCACATCAGGGAAATCTGAAACAAATCAAAACAGTGCCCAGTGTACAGCTGGTACGAAATAACTTCATGAACACTGCATAGCGGCCCCTACGAACAATTATGGAGGGTATCAAAGCCTCCCGAACAATCTATGTTTAGATTTTTTGACACACAATGAAATGTTTATTCAAAGGCATTAACAGTTTTTATGTGCTTTTATATATATGCAAATTGTAAAAACTCATATTGAGAAGAGGCTGTGTGTGTGTGTGTCTGTGTCTGTGTATTCGCACTTTTTGTCAACCACTTTCAACTCGAGAACGAGAAAAGCTAGAAGGCTGAAACTTTGGGAGCATGTGCCCATACCACGGACCCTCCCTTTTTAATGTCATCCCCGGCTGACACCTAGGTGACGCGGACGCTTTAAAAAAATATGCAATTTTTTCGGCGGGAATGCGATCTCGAGAACCAGACAAGGTAAGGGACTGAAACTTTATAGGGATGTTCCCTGTGCGTCTAATAGCTAGAGATTTCAAATTTAGTCCCCAGGTATGCATGTTACTCCACTTAAGGGTGTATGAAAGTTTCGGCTGGAAAAGTGCTACCTCAGGAATCAGGAAAGCTAGAAAACTGAAATTTTGGAAGAATGTCCTCTGTCTAAGTACAGCTTAAACATTTCAAATCTAGCCTTCAGATATGCATGGTTCTTACTATGAACACGTAAAAGATTTGGCCGGAGAACTGTTAACTCGACAACCAGGAAAGCAGCAAGGCTGAAATTCTAGAGCGATGTTCCCTGTCCAAGTGCAATTTAAAAATTTCAAATTCAGCTAGAATACTCACGTATGGGCATGTAAAAGGTTTGGCTGGAAAATTGCTGACTCGGTAACCAGAAAAGATGGAATGCTGAAATTTTACGGGGATGTTCCCTGCCCAAGTACAACTTAAGTGTTTCAGATTCAGCTTGAGGTACGCGTGGTTCTTACTTACGAGCACTTAAAAGTCTTGGGGGAAAAATTTCTCACTGAACAGCTAGGATACTTTTAAAGAACGACCGTTAAAAAGAAATTGTACACTTACTTTATGCAAAATTTATGGTAATTTATGCTGGTGACAGCAGAAGGTAGGGGTGAAGCAACAACCATTCATACAGCTGATAACCTAAGTACTTCAAGTCCGGTGCAAAGACGTATGATCGCACGGGCCCGCCCGTTGCGTTCCGGCCTGGGTAACAACATAGCAAATTGTCATTTTCATAAACATCCGATAAAAATCCCCATAGCAAAAGGGGACTCCAGCCAGCCGGATTCGAACCAGCGACCTAAGGATGGCTGCTCACTCTACAGTCCTCCGCTCTACCAACTGAGCTATGGCTGGGATATCTCAGACCGCTCTCTTCTGACTTTAATACAATCGTAAAAAATTGAACGACCAGTGTATTTTACCTCCTTTATAAGTGGCTTAAGAAAACTTGAATCATTGGCAACGTTCACGGGGCGAACACCGTACGACCACGCGTTTTTGCAGTGTTTCCTGCTGTAATGGGATCGCTCGGGAATTCAGTAGCTAGAAATGTGTGACATACTGGTCCTCAAATTTCGGGAAGTTACTTGTCTACGCTGTACTTGGACAGGGAACATTCCCTAAAAATTTCAGCCCCCAGCTTTCCTGGTTTCTGAGGTAGCCATTTTGCCGTCAAAACGTGGAATCATGCTCGAGGGCTGCATTGGATAAATTTGGTGACGAACAGAAAAGCAACGAAACAACAGCTAATTAGGTGATCGGTGTCAGTTACTACATGCTTAACTACTTATTATCGGACTGTCTGAATGAACTTGTTTTGTCAAATATTTTGTTAATTTTCTGAGTATGCGAAACACACACACACTTCTCTTGACAGAATCGAATTCGTAGACTACCACAAACAAATTCTGCTACGGATAA